TCGATGAGCTTAGCTGTGTCGTGCGTACGTCTAAAGAGGAAGATCCAGGAGGATAACTTAAGCAGTTTTTTTTTTAGTTTCTTGGGGTGGGGTGAGACTGAGTCCACTTGGTACGTCGGCCACTAACTGGCCTATTGAACCAGCCCCAGATGATAGATGATGATGAGTGTGAAGCAGTCGGTGGAATGACAATTGGCAGGGGAAACCGAAGTACTCGGAGGACCTGCTCCAGTGCCACTTTATTCACCACAAATCCCACATGATCTGACCTGGGTTCGAACCCAGCTGGCGACTAATCGCCTGAGCTATGGCACGGCCAAGTTAACTTCTCCGCTGCTGTTACAGTAGTTTGTTACAAAGGTACTCGTATATTTCACTTATAATTTAATTCGCCCCTTTAATAATATAATTTAAACATGTTAGCTTACACGTAGAGGAGTCGGGATATCTGAGTGGGTATAGCTCCAGAGCGGGTGGCCAGGCTAACAGGGGCAAGATATTTTATTTTTCTTCACAGCATCCAGACCGAGTTTGGGGTAAATCCAGCCTCCTATCCGATGGGTACCGGGGGTAAGGAGGCCGGGGCGTGTAACTGACTCACCTTCATCTAGTTCCGAGGTAAACAATGGTTTCCCTTGTAGGTCTTCATGGTGTGGTGCTTAATTAGTTAAGCACAGGAACAACTTTGCCTTCCCTTCACATTCTTTATCTTATAGTCGTGTGTAAAATCCTTTCGTCTTTCCGCCTCTGATTATGTTGGTAGGTGACCATATACGATCATTTATTCAATGCCCGTAGAAATTCCGTTGCTTGGCAACAGCAGAGTATGTAAAACAATTATTGTCTTCTGTCATGGCGGAAACTAACAATAACGATGTGTGATGTCACATCCTTTCCCTTTTCCTTCTGCTTTTTCTTTTTTTAAGTCTGCTATTCAGCGGCGCGGTCACTATCAAGACCATAATAGCGTCGGTGAGAGGATGATTAATGAACGTGGAGCAGTTGGTGGAATGAGAATTGACGGGGAAACCCAAAATGGCCGGCAGACAACCCGCCCTGGTTCCTTGTCCACCACAAATCTCACATAAATTGACCTTGGATTGAACCCGGGACGCTGTAATGGGAAGCCGACAACTAACCGCCTAAGCCATGACACGTTCTGTTTCTTCTTCTTCTTCTCCTCTTCATTATTATTATTATTATTATTATGGTCAAGAATTAAAATGATTCAATGGGGTTTTGGATTGAATAATGGGTTTATTGACCAAATATACACACAACTCGGAACTACAAGTAGTTAGAGTGCTCCATCGCTAATTTCCACATTTTACAAATCAGTACAGCACAAGTTAAGTCTTTTCCATTCTGTTGTGTGTTCACCAGCCGTTACCTCGTAACGGCTTCAGAGAGTGGAGATTTTTCAGTTTCCGCGTTCAAGTCCTCACTCAATGGCGGTTCCCTTCCAACTGACTTCTTCTTCATAGACTCCCTTACAGAACTGACTTGGTTGCCCCAGTTGTCTTCCTTATAACTCCTCGGCACGGCCCGCGCAGAGAACACTGTTCATTCTCGTATTCTAACAGTTTCCGAGAGAACGTGTTTACCGAGCTGTTCCATAGGAGCGGCCGTCTATGCTTGCTTATTAAGAATATGCTGCCTAGCAATGTACGTCGTCCCTTTGTTTGTTTCGCGGCCGTTGCCTAGAAACGAACGTTGTTTCAGAGCCTTTCGGTAGCAACGGCTGTTATTCTGGCTTCACAGTTCTCGTTTCGAGTAAATGTGTCACAATGTTATTATTCCCCGTTCTCCTTCATGGATTAGACTTTAGCCAGTTCCGGCCTCACATTTCCATGCGGCCAATGCATCCGTAAGGCCTTCACTCGTATTTCATTATTCGCTTTGGTGTTCTTCCGTCCGGTACTCTCCATAAATGTGATCTCTACGTCTCTCTGCAGCTTCTTACTCTCTGCGTTATTGGCCCCACTCCTAATTACTTTCGATTCTCTTCGTTCTATAAACCATCTTCTCTTGTGCATCTTTTGGTATTATTATTATCATTGGTTCTGGTATGTTTTTGTTTACATGTGTTTCATTATATCTGTGCTAGTGCTTATTTTGTAATTGGCCTTTGGGCTCTTCAGTTAGCACGTAAATAAATAAGAATTGAATTCGTTTATTACTTGTGGCGATAGTGTGGAATGAGAACCCGCGAGACCCCTTTCTTATGCAGTCAGTGGTGCAGCCTCTGTTGCGTGTAGGGGCGTTGGGACTATTTCCGTCGCCGCGAAATGCAGAAATGTTCTGGTGTGGGGGGATGGAATTTCCCTAGAAATAAAGGCTACCGGGGGGGTCCGACAAGGCTAAAGAATCCTACAAGGAACGGCCTTGCATAACCTTGCACAGCTATCTTGTAATTCACCATGTAAACACTGAAAAGCTGACCGCATGATTGCGTTTTCTACAGCCTTCGTGAAACCAAACTTCTTTCTCGAATTATAAGATCGTCAAAGGCACTTGAGATGAACCCACACGTATGTTGGCGGAAGTGTTTAATTTTACAAGCCGACGGCTCAAATTACGTCCCATCTACTGCGATTTCAGATACAAATATATCCGCCAATTATAGTTGCATTTAAGTATCAACTGCCTGTAATTTAAGAGTCTAAATACATCTCTGGTCACGGTAGCCGAGCGGTCTAAGGCGTGCACTGTCTTCGTTCGATCAGAAGCCGGGATCGTGGGTTCGAATCCCACTCAGGGCATGGATGTTTGTGTTCGTTTTTCTCTGTTTGTGTATAGGTAGAGGCCTTGCGACGAGCTGATCACCCGCCCAAGGAGTCCTACCGTATGTCTAAGACCTAGAAAAACCGAAAGTGAACGGCGAAGTTCATGGAGGTAGGCCTAGGCCCACTGGGGCTGTAGTGCCAAGGGAAAAAAAATACATCTCTATGCAACGTTGGCCGAAACAGGAAAAGACCACCTAACCTCAATTCACTATATATGATGACCATCTCTTATCAGAGGATCCCTTTTAATACAATCTACTCGTATTTACTTTAGAATGTCGCTATTTTTCGCGTTTCTTTTTTTCAGGCTACTGAGAACAGTCGCTATAGCGACGGGCTAAGGGCTGGACGGCCGGTTTTCGATTCTCGGCAGGGGCAAGGTTTTCCTCCGCTGTTTCTAGACCGGCTATGTAGGCCACCCAGCCTCATATCCGATGGGTACCGGGGGGGGCTCTTTCAACAGTGGTAAAGCGGCAGGGGCGTAAAACTGACAATTCGCCTCTTTCTAATGCCAAGGTCAAGAATGGTGGCGCTATACCTCCACTCCCCCGTAAGTCTTCGTGGCATAATAATTAATTCTTTTTTTTTATTGCTAGTGGGGTGGGACTAAGTCCCTTGTACTGCGGCCACTTCTGGCCTATTGTACCAGCCCCAGATGATAGGTGAGGGTGATTGTGGAGCAATTGGTCGAATGAAGATTGGCAGGGAAAACCGAAGTAGTCGGAGAAAAACTGCCCCAGCGCCACTTTGTCCACCACAAATCCCACTTGACCAGACCCGGGATCGAACCCGGGCCGCCGCGGTGGGAAGCCAGCGAGTAACCGCTTGAGCTATGGCGCGGCCTAATGATTAATTAAATAAGCACAGAGAAAACTCGACATTTTACTTCATTAATTTTATTTTTATTAATACAGAGTGTCCCAGGAGGAAAGGTCAAAATTCTGGGAGGTCAGAGTATCGGTCATTCTAAGCAAAAAATTGTGTATATGTGTCCTACAAGTATTCCGAACGGTTTCCGAGATAGAGCTATTTCACTGTACAGTTCAAAAACAGCTGATAAGAAAGAGATATTACGTACTGATTTAATACCGGTATTTATTGTTCAAGTAACAAAGTTGGTAGAGTTTACCTAGTGTAACACTTTAAAAAAAATCCACCGTTAATATCAGTGCACTTTGCAACTCGTGTGAGGACATGGCGTGATGCTCGTCTGTACAGTGTGCAGTGAAATGTCTCTATCTCGGAAACCGTTAGGAATAGGATCAATATACACATACATTATTTGCTTAGAATGACCGATACCATGACCTCCCAGAATATTGACTTCTCCTTCTGAGACACCCTGTACGTTCCTCCACTTCTTTCTCTACCGAGGAAGTTCGGTCAAGAGACAGAGCTTCTGATTTGTATTCTGGAGTTACAAATTTCAAATCTCGACCAGAACACCAACTATCATGACTGAGGTGTTTCGTAGTTTCTCGGAGTCCCTTCAGACGAATTCCAGGATAGGCCACGACCGCTTATTTCCATATCTTTCCAGTTCATTATCATCCAATCGTTCGGCACTATATAGTCTGAGTTACTGCAGTGTCGTTAAGTAAACTACAAAGAGGCCGCGCCATAGCTCAAGCGGTTAGCGCTGGCTTCTCACCGCGGCGGCCCGATCCTGGGTCTGGACAAGTGGGATTTGTGGCGGACAAAGTGGCGCTGGGGTAGGTTTTCTCTGGGTACTTCGGTTTCCCCTGCCAATCTTCATTCCACAAATTGCTCCACAATCACCCTCACCTATCATCTGGGACAGAGACATCCATGCCTTGAGTGGGATTCGAACCTACGATCGCAGCGTTCGAGTTAGCGGAGACAGTTCATGCCTTAGACCGCGCGACCACTGTGATCGTTCCTGGTCAAACTATGGGCCAAATAAATATAATTTGTTCACTTTATTGACGGTGAATGTAGAACGCATGAACTCCGCTGTGATCCGAACATCTGTCCTAATGAGCGCAGATGATTTCTTTCCGTCGTGACTGCTTACGCACAGCAGTTGTAAACGGAAGCTGCCTTGAGAGAAGTGGGCGCAAGTTGCGGCTACCAACTGCGAAACTTCCGACTGTCTCCACACGTGCTTTCCCCTTCTTCAGGGACGCAAGTTCGTCCGCAGCGTCCATGTGTATAAATACCGGCCTGCCCCCCTACCTGCTTCATTGTCTGTGACGCCGGGACTTAGAAGAGTGCTATAGTAATGGCTCTTACTCTGTGCCTGATGGTACTGACAGCGGCTCTTCTGGCGTACATAGCGTCTGCTATGCCACGTGTCTTATACGGTAAGTGACGTCACTAAGCCTTGCATGTCTTGATTGATCATGCTAGTGTACTTTCGTATCTGGGCCGGATTATCGGCTAAACTCTTTTCAGGTCAATAAGGCTAAAAATAGGACAATATCTACCAAGTACTAATTATATTATCTTCCCACGTCAAATTGTGATCTTGGTTGTGACACCCTGTATAATTTTACGTGTTTCCTAAAGTTCCCACGTGTTCAGGGTCGAATTCGAACCTGCTAAGGTTCATCTTACTTTTCGACCTCGAAGATGGAGACAGTAAGTTCCGCAGAAGCGTTGCCAACTTCTATCATACTGCATGGTGTCAAAGTCCAGTAGTGTTCATATGAACACAGTCCACACATACGATATTTTAGATACATTTTAATATTATCCAATCATATTTTTCTAGATCTCCTGGGTGTTCTCCTCCCTTAAGGTCTCCCGACTAATATCTGATCTGCAGTTCTCATCTCCATCCAAGCTGTATATCATGTCTCAGCCACTTTGGTATTACTTACTTACTTATTTACTCATGGAGCTAGCGGCCTCCGTAGTCTAGAGGTAACGTTCCCACCTCATGACTCGTAGTACGCGGGTTCAAATACCCGGCGGAGGTCGTCGAATTTTTAAGGGCGGAAAAATTCAGGGAACAAGTCCTCCGGGAGGGACTTTAAGCCGTGGGTCCCGTGTCGTAGCTTCATGTCGACCATGTCGACTTTCATGTGAAAGTTGAATGAAAGTATGAAAGAAGGGAAGAAATAAAAATGCATTAAATATTTTAATTAATCATAAAACGTAAGGAGATTCCAATATTCATATAGCAAAATGTTTCTAATTCAACACTAGCTGTTCCTCTAGATCACCAAGTTCGTCTCCTACATTTAATCTCCCTCAGCTCGAGAAGAAATAAAATTAAGATGTAAGGAAGGGCCGAAAAATTAAAAATATTCTCGACGATAATATAACAATAAAATGTCTGACTTCCTGGGCATTATCCATTGAACAGATACATTATTAAAACGACATTTCGGAGTCTGGAAGCTGTCTCCGTTTTCGGGTAAAAACCCAACTGAATAGGTTTCTTTTACCTGAGGACAGAGATGAAGTCAAGACTCCGAAAAGTCGTTTTAATAATATATTTTGTGGGTGTATAATGCCCACAATATTAAACACTAAAGTAAGAACTGATTATTATTTTCGATAACTTCCACTAAATTGAAATATACCGTCTCAAATTTCTGTCTTTAAACGCACATTGTGCAAATAACCCGCTATTTTACACGCTGAATATTTCTGTCGTCTGGGACTTAACGCCGTGTAATATAGTATTTTTATTTCTACCAATTACCAGCTACCAGGGTTCTAAACTTGTCGTGTTAATGAGTATACAAACTCATGCGGAATTTTGCAATAAGAGAAAGTGAAAGCAGAAGGTCACGAGGAAGAATGATCAGCTGTTTTGTGCACAAGAGTGGACGCCAAATCTAAGGGGCAATTTTCTGCAGTACTTAAGCAGTATGTTGCTTTGTACGAAGTTTCGATATGAAATTCGGCAAGATAATTGCAAATACGCACAGGGACGGACGTAGAAGGAGGGGATCCTGTCTAATTTTAACACTCTAACTGACGAAGATATAACATTATGCCTACTATTCGTAACATTTCATGTTCTGCATAAAGAATATGATGCATATATAATACAACCTACGCAAATCATAGTATGAGTTACAGAGGAGTTAAAACATTCGATATATTCTACGTTAGCAGAAGCCGGGATAGCGTAGTTGGTATAGAGACTGGCTACGGGTTGGACGACCGAGGGGTCGGAGTTCGAGTCCCAGTGGGTGCAAGAATTTTCACTTCTTCACGTCGTCCAGACCGGCTCTGGGGTCCACCCAACCTCCTATCCAATGGATACAGGGGAATCCTTCCCCCAGGTGTATTGCAGCCGTAGCATGAAGCTGACCACTCACCGCCAACTAGTGCCGAGGTCAAGAAAATGTGGATCTATACACCCACTCCCCCATACATCTTCATGACATATTGCTTAATTAGTTCAGCACAGAGACAACTTTACCTTTACCTTCATCACTCCTTAGAAGATTCTGCCAGGTTTGTCGTGAATTAGACCGTCCGGTTTCCACTTCTTTGTATTTCGTAACAATAATTTTTTGCAAAGCAAGATCGTCAGCCTTGCGTCCAACCCGCAACCTGGAGGAGCAGGTCTTTGTGTTTAAGTCCCCCAGCGACAGGGTGGCTTACTTATACCTCCAGGTACCGGGTTCTCTTTTCGTCGCCTTCTACGTCTCGCAGGGTTACGGTGGAGGTACTATAACGCGCCTCCATATGGTGGATGTAGTCTCTACTCTTACTGCTGATCTAATAACGATACAGATTATTCAATTCAGGTCCATTTTTGTTTGTTTGTTTACGTTCTGAGCTCAATAGCCGGTGGTCAGTTACAGGGTCAGCACGAGTAAGAACTACAACAATAAAAAATATATAAGGGGAAAAAAAAACAAGCAAAACAATGAATCGGTTAAGGTTATTTACATTAAACGTGAGTTTCTAAGCATATCTATAAACTTGCAAACTACTTGAGCGGCAGAAGCACTTCTAGCTGAAGGACAGTAACTGGAGCTAATGAACGTATGGCCATAATCTCTCGACACAAGTTGCTCATTCCTACCCTCCCCCACCCCATTTTCTTAAACTGGAACTACAGAAATATATTACAAATAGAATGTCAGACGCTGAAAGGACATTTTCTGTGTCCTCAATCAAGCAGTTTGTGACAGAAACAACTGGAAGTAAACACCGTTACATAATTACAGCTTCTATTGAAAATGGTTGGGAAGATCTGACAACCCTCTTTCCGGAATAAATTTAATTTATTTATGTTCCTGTCCCTAGGGACAAAAATCCTTGTGACGGCCTATCATTAATGAACCATCAATTTAAAAACATTTTTCTTGTTGTAGTGCAGTTATGTAGAAACTCATGCTCCGAGTAGGTAACGCTAAAGCTATCCGTGTAACAGGCCGTGAAGGTCTATAAAGTTGCGAGACGCCGATGTTCCCACATTTTCCAGACAATCGGCTCAGAGATGGCGGCAAGGTTGTCAGCCTTAGGCGCCGGCCGTCCTTTACACCCAGGAAGATTCCTGGTAGTCATTTCTGTTAGAGGATGAGTCGACCTCATGGCCATAGTGCGGCTGGAAGGACTAGGTCAATTTAAAAAAAAATCCAATGACCTCATCGGGATTCGAACCCGTGACCTTCCGGCTTGTAACATTGTGCCCCAACCAACCACGCTACCGCGTGACCCGTTCCGAGCAGGAGTGGAAAAAATGTAGTTTCGTCATAAATATTTATTAAAAATAAAGCGTCAGAGTGACTACACGTGATATTCAGTATCTGAAAATTTAATTTTCCAATTAATTTATTATACTTGTAGTACCGGATATCGGTAAATTGAAAATTTAAGTTGCGGAAAAGGGCCGAAAATTTTCTTCGTATGCGCCCAAGTTTATTGGATGTTACCTGTACGAGTACGACTAAATAAACACTAAGTGCTGTACGAGTACGTATAATCAGATGCTGTTATCTACTTGCAGAAGGAGACGTGTGTCGACTGGGAGCTAACAGGAAGGGTCTGTGCAAGCCTCTTAGCCAGTGTAAGCCAGCGTTTCGGCAGCTGTCAACGTCTGGGATCAGACCCATTCACTGCAGCTTCAAGGGTTTCGAAGAAGTAGTTTGTTGTGACGACGAGGTGTCGCAGCAGCTCCGAAAGAGCGAGCTGGGTAAGCAATGCTTGAGACAACCTGTTAACGTGGCATATTTGGACATTTTTGTAAGATCTGGGGTTTTTACGGCGGTGACTATGAAGAATTCCGCCTTTTGGGATGTGGCACCGTGTAGATCCTGTGTGACTGGTCACTCAGTCTGCAGTCACCTGCTCAAGCTGGTTCCTCGCTCGCGAATTTTTCTACCGTGAAGATGGAGGCGATACGTTCTTCCGAAACGTCGGTTTACACAGGATCTACATGGCGCCCCATCCCAGAAGACGGCATTCTTGGAAATTTTTCTTGGTAGGCGCCAACAGCATCACAACTACACTACAAACCAAACACTTGCTAGCCTTCTATAGCAAGATGTGTAGAAAGGTAAAGCTATCCCTGTAACAGGTCGTGGAGACGTCAAGGCCCCTACATTTTCTAGACATTCGGCTCACAGATGGCGGTGAGGTTGTCAGCCTTACGCGCAGGTCGCCATTTACCCCCAGGAAGATTCCTGGTACTCATTTCTGTTAGAGGCTGAGTCGACCTCAGGACCATAGTGCGGCTGGAAGGATTAGGTCAAATGAACTCATTGGGAATCGAACACTCGACCTTCAGGCTTGTGGCATAGTGCCTCAATCAACTACGCTACCGCATGCCCCCAAAGTTGTCCCTGTGCTTAACTAATTATGCACTACTCCATGAAGACGTATGGGGGAGTGCAGGTGTTTTCTTGACCTCGTCACTAGTTGGAGGTGAGTTGTTAGCTTCACGCACCGGCCGCTTTACCTCCGGGGAAAGAGCCCACGGTACCCACTGGTTAAGAGGCCGGGTGGGCCCCAGGGCCGGTTTGGACGACGTAGAGAAATGAAAATTCTTTACCCTACCGGGACTCGAACTACGACCCCTCGGTCGTCGAGCCCGTAGCTAGTCGCTGTACCGACTGCACTCTCCCGTCTCTTAAACTGTTTAGTACTGATCAAATTTCGGCAGAATTAATCCGAGCGGGAGGTAAAACTTTCTGTACTGAGGTTACCATATTTCTCAGTTACTTCTACAAGGAAGAGTTAGCATAGCAGTGGAAAGAATCCATTATTTTACCTATTTATTAGAAAGGTAATGTAACTGGCGGTATGGCACATAATTGTTTTCAACTGCGTAGGGAATTTGTATCCAATTTTCGTCTCTCAACTTTATCTCCATGTGGAGACACAACTGGGAACATCAACGTGGATTAATGTGGCTTCTTTTAATACGTTTTCAGTGTCAAGACGATATATCGTATGATAAGAGGGTGATTAATGAATGGTTGATTTTGGAACGTATCAGGGATGGATTGGATTGATCTGGCTCAGAATATGGACCGCTGGAGGGCTGTTGTGAACACAGTAATAAACCTTCGGGTTCCATGATATCCTGGGAAGTTCTTGAGTAGCTGCACAATTGGCAGCCTCTCAAGAAGAGCTCAGCTCCATGAGTGAGTGATCAGTGATGACCTAACTGAGATACTGTTCCAAACCTGGAGACACTAAAGAAGATCATGAAAGTCCTCAATATGGATTGTAGGTGTCCTGACCGAGCACCTCGCGAGCGAGAGCTATAACAACCGGCCCCGTATCAAAGTGGATTCGGTGTAATAGACGGGGAAATATTACATCATTTCACGTTGGCCATTTACGGGAGAGAACGCGGTATTGCAAAAGTAGAGTTCGTCAATTATTTATAGACTTAAAGGAAGCCTAAGATTCGGTGTAGTACAGTATTCTCATTGATTTCTGTATACCAATGAATCTAGTTAGGTTAATCAAATATATTTAAGTAAAAGAAAAAGTAAAGCTATCCCTGTAACAGGCCTCGGAGGCCCATAGGGTTGTGAGACGTCGAGGATCCCACATTTTCTAGACAATCGGCTGAAAGATGGCGGCCGGCCGCGCTTTACTCTCCAGGAAAATTATTTAATTAATTCCTGGTTCTCATTTCTGTTAGAGACTGAGTCGACCCCAGGGCTCATCGGGACCTGAACCCGCGACCTTCCGGCTTGTAGCATAGTACCTCAACCAACTACGCTACCGCGTGCCCCCAAATATATTTAAAACAATATAAAATTAAGTCTTCATAGGTAAACCTTTATCAGATGCTTACGGCCATTGCTTTTAACGTGGTTTTAGAATGTGCAACTAAGAATGCTAAAAAGGAAACAAGAAGGATTGGATTGGAATTAAATGGGACATATACACTGCTGGCTTAGACTGATGACGTAATGTATTTACAAAAAGGAAGTGGGGCCGATTACATTCGGGGTACGCTCTCCGCTGGAAAGAGACAAGTACATTTAGAATACTTCCTCTCCAACTGCTAACTAAAAACCTTGAGGTTAAAACATATCACACTACAATTTTGCCAGTTATTTTGTATGGGTGTGTAACTTGCTTCTCACACGAAGGGAAGAGAATAGTTTAAGGATATCTGGGATCAAGTTTCTGATCATGTTTAGACGTTACAAGAGATCGAAGAAAGTTATATAACGAGGAGCTTCACAATTTTTACTCTCTCCGAGATTATTATAAAATCACAAAAGATGAAAGGGGCAAAGCATGTAGCACGCATAGAAGAGATGAGAAATTATTGACGGCTTGATTGGAAAACTTGAAAGGAAGAAAATCACTTGGTTGAAATAGGAGTAGATGGAAGAAAAATATTAAAATGGTTGAGTGGGAAAATGTGGGCTGCATTCATCTGGGTCTGGAAGGGACCAGTGGACAGCTCTTGTGAAGCTTCGGATTTCATGGAAATTTCCTGACTAACAGACCAAGTATTAACTCCTTAGGCCCCCCATACACACACAGTTTGCCCTTCCGATCGACCTTACAGGTAAAACTGTGACAGTTTACCCCCTCCCTTTCCTCCCCATACACGCGCAGATAAAGCGACAGGCTTCATGCCACAATCACGGTCTCCCAGCCTATAATGGTGAGTCACACACGTCATGTGCTACGGTCCTGCGGGCATAACTGATGGACTGACGGGTTTCCCACAGACCAACAGTCCAAACGATTGGCCGGCCGCACCACACACGTCAGTTTTGCCTTTCAGTCTTCAGCTGTGCAGGCCGAACTGGAGGCCAAACTGTGTGTGTATGGGGGCCCTTAGGAAGGGCTCTGCTCCTTGGAATTATCGCAGTAACTAAAATGCTGTCAATTCTGATTATCTTGTATTATCATGAAAAGAATGTCTTGCCTATAGCAACACACTGCAAGATGCTTTGAGCATCTGAAACAATTGACCTCAAGAATACAACGCTGTTTTTGCAGTGTCCCTGGACTTGCCTGATGAGGAAGGTCGGGGACGACGAGTTCTCTTTGAACCGCTGGTCGAAGAGTTACACCATTTACATGCCATACGTTTCTTAACGACAATTAAGCGAAATTTACCTGGAGGGGCTAAGGAAAATCACGAAAAATCTCAATCAGGATAGTCGTTCTGGCCGAGATTCGAACCGAACAGCTTTCGAATAGAAATCAGAAGCGTTACTGTTTGAGTCAAACTGCTGGATGGAAAGTTTTTATGTAAACGTGGTGATAAATTTCGTGTTCCATAAAAAGCAGAGAATTTCTTGTTTTTCTGAAGAACCATCAGCTTGTCAAGAGTTGTCCTTTCATTAACAACAATTCCCGTACCTGCTGGCTATCGAGGAACTATTATACTAAAGAATATTCGTAAATATGAGCTTAAAAATTACGCGAAGTTTAGAGTATTGCCAATAAGCCCTCCAGTAGGAGAAGGACATTAACTTGATTTATTGCAACCTTGACGTTGCCGAATGTGGTGAGATGGTAATCATGAGCGTACAAGTGGGAGGAATGGGACAGGATATACCGTGGCCTGCTTCAACGCATATCCAGATATTCAACAGAAGTGAAGGAGGGAAATTACAATTAAAAAACCTGTCAGTATAGTCGTGTTCCGGCTGTGATTTTAAACGAATGTCCCCCGACCACAAGTCAGCGAAGTTATCACTTGACATCAGATGGAGTCCTAACACCACTATCCTGGGCCAGTTTAATCTAATCAACAATCTCCGATCTTATTTATTTAGAGTATATTTTAATATTATCTTGTCGTATACGGCTAGGAGCCGGGATAGCACAGTCGGTATAGCGACTGGCCTAGGGCTGGACGGCCGAGAGTCCCGATAGGGACGAGATTCTCTTCTGCACGTCGTCCAGACCTGTTCTGGGGGCCACACTGGAGCCTCTTTCTGCGGGGGTAAAGCGGCCGCGGCGTGAGCTGACTAATCACCTCCAATCAGTGCCGAGGTCAAGAATACGTGACTCTATATATCCACTCCGCAATACGTCTAGTTCTACGTGATAAGACAAGATAATCTTAAAATATATTCTAAATAATAGTTCAGTTGGTACAGCGACGGGCTAAGACCTGGACGGCAGGGGTTCGATTCCCGGCAGGGCCAAAAATTTTTTCTCTACTCCAAAGTGTCCATACTGGATCTCAGGCACAGCAAGTCTCCTATCCAGTGAGTACTGAGGGCTCTTTCCCTGGAAGTAAAGGGGCCTTGGCGCGAAGCTGACCACTCACCTCAATCTAGTGCCGAGGCCAGGAATGATGGAACTATACCTACACTTCCCCATACGTCTTCATGGTACAGTGTTTAATTAATTAAGTACAGGGACTATTTTGTCTTTATCATACAGTCCTACACCTAAGTCTCACGAGAGGTCTTTTCTTTTGAGTTTTCCGGCTGAAAATTGAATGCATTTTTCACTTCTTGCATGGGCAATAAAAAAAAACGAACTCCGTGACTTGAGTCCGCAAGCGAACTACACCGACCGAGCGACGGCCGCTTGTCGGAGAAGTTAGTGCCAACTTTAGCGGATAGAGGGTGTCACGTGGTCAACGCAACGATTCTCCACGGCCGTTAATTTCGGTTTCCTAGACCGGAGCCGCTATTTATCCTTGAAATAGATCCTTAATTATCCTCATGAGGCTGAGTGGACCCCGTACCAGACCCACTGCTTCTCAGAAAATCTGGTAGCGCTGGGAATCGAACCCGGACCTCTGGATCTGTAGCCAGAAACACTGACTACTAGACCACAGCGGCGGTCCTTGCATGTGTGATAAGAGTAAATATACCAATAATGCAGGTGGAAATAGGTTTAACTAGGCATCGTGTGTTCCAGCGTGTCGGGAATACATGAACGAGCTTCCGCTCAGAGTCAATCCTTTCATCAAGAGCGGCAGAGATGCAGAACCAGGGGATTACCCGCACATGGTAAGTGGTCAGGCAACCCGTTCTAACCGGACAACATATCTCTCAAGAATGAAGCCAAATGTTTATTTCATATGAAACATGAGTGACAAATACCAATGTAAATGTCACTGCGAGTCACGTAGCCACAAGTGAAATGACTAACACAAATACTACTCGCTTTGTTACTCGGTTATTTTCTTATTTTAAAACAAACACGTTATACGCGAATCCAATTCAGGAGAATTGTGTGTCCACTGGGATTATAGCCTGAAAATATATTAAAGAAGGTGAACAAAGAATTTCTGTGCATTATATTCATTAGTACAGACATCGACATTGTTAAATCTATCAACTTTTCACATCGTCGCATTGAATGCAATATTTCATACAGAATTTCGAAGTCTGATCTCTCTCTAGATTCTAAAGGGTTCTGACGATGGTGGATGGCACACACAATTACCGTTTTTTTTTTTTACTTTTCCCATCGTTCCGAATTCTAGGTAATAGAGGACACGACGTTTCGGAAACTTGATCTGTTTCCGTCTTCAGGTGAGAAAGGAAGACACCTACTCAGTTGGGGTCCTTAGAAAGAGAAAGGTCCAGTGACTCAGATTAGCTCTTTCTAAAATGCCCAACTGAGGTGCCTTCTTTTCTCACCTGAGGATGGAAATAGATCCAGTATCCGAAACGTCGTGTCCTCTATTACCTAGAAGTCCGGATGATGGAAAAAGTCCAAAAACCCAGTAGTTCTCTGCTCTCTCTCTCTGTATGTAATCTCCCATGCCTCCAAAGGTTCTTTAGCGGTACTCACAGACAAAAAGCTAACCTTAGGTTTCGTGCTGTACCGTGTTATTATTTTATGTTCTACAGAATATTATCTCAATGACAGTCGCAGTGTTTGCGAATACGTTACTATGCAACATTTCAGAACCTCACCATTCATTCAATACTGGGAATCACCCTTTAGGATTCTTAGCTGGCTTCCAGCTACGGGATTGGCCTCCACAATTAAATAACGACACTGAATAGAACGGTAATTAGCCCCAGTGGAGAACATCGAGCGGATGGAGTTGAGAGGGTGGAGGTACAATATGAACTGAATCTCATAAGAAAACTAGTTGACTTATTAAATAACTAATTAACCCATCGAACAATTCAGTGTAGCACGGTCCTTCGCGACAACCTAATAATTGCTCAGCTAGTAAAAGAATTTCCCCATTTTTTATAGAAACCGAAAGTTCATTACCGTGTTCACAAAAGCACATCAGCGGATTGTATCCTGAGACAGATGGATCCATTTCCCACAATCTCACCCTGTCTCTTCAAGATCCATTTCAATGTTGTTCCATCATCTGCGCCCAACTCTTTACAATTTACTCGTCCCTTCTGTGTTTCCGACCCAAAGTTTGCATATATTTCAAATTTCTTCCATGCGTGCTACATGTCTCGCTTATCTCATCCTACTTAGTTTTATCATTACCCTAAAATCTGGTGATGAACACTAATCAAGAATTTGCTCCAATCTATATTCTCCCTTCAATGTGAGACCAAATTTCACACCCATACAAATTAGGCAAAATTATAGTTTCTTAAGCTCATATTTAGGCAATCATAGTGACCGCGCTGTCTAAGGCATGAACTATCTTCGCTCGCTCGAACGCTGGGGTCGTGGGTTCGAATCCCACTAAAAACATGGATGTATGTGTGCGTTTATTCTGTGTTTGTGTTGTTCTGTGTGTAGGTAGCGGCTTTGCGACGGGCTGATCCCTCGTCCAAGGAGTCCTACTGGCTGTGTATAGGATTAAGAAACTGAAAACGCGGCCAAGGTCCAACAAAGGGACTGTAGAGCCATAGGTAGATAGACGGACAGACATATAGATAGATAGACAGGTTTATATTTATGTTTTCCAACAAAAGGACAAAAGAAAGTACACTGAAGCCTATTGCAATAAAAACAGATGCGGCACGTGAGTACAATAATAGTCACAAAGACTCTGCAAAATGTCATCAGCGGAGCAAGGGAAAATGGAATCTACTTATTAAGAATAATGAACTAGCCACAAAAGCCACGTGGTTGCCTCAGGCGTATGAAAGTACAGATTAAAAAAAAAAAACGAAATTCCTCTACGCACAGGAACCAAGAGAAAAAGAACAAGCCGTATACGAAAGGTCCTACAAGTGTCATTATAGCACCGTGCCAAGATTAAAAATGACGTATCATGTTCATTTAGGGGAATTCCACAAACATCAGATAAAAGGCCACTCCTTCTGATCGAAGTGAGCAAGGAACAGGATTATTTTACAAGCAACTTAATTAAAGTGCACGTGTTAGTGACAAAGATCACATAGCTGTTTTATCCTACGTGGAAGATTTAACGTCGCAATGGTAGATCGTGGGTTCGACTCCCATTCAAGAATGAATGTTTGTGTGTATTCTGTTTATTTTGGGTAGCGGCCTTGCGACGGGATGATCTCCCGTCCAAGGGGTCTTACCGACTGTCTTAGATTAAGAAACTGAAGTGAAACGAAGCGTTTCGCGGATGCCCTGTGCTTCAAGAAGGAGGAGGAGGACTGAATGCTGTCGCGGTGCAGGGATCATTAAACGCCCTCAGTCTTCAATCTATTCTATTCTACGAACTGAAACGCCAGAATAATTTATTTTGCATCTTCACCCTTTACTCCCATTTCTTACTTTCCTGTATTCCCTCTCAACCCTCTTTCTCTGCCGAAATGTGAATTGCTCGTAATTCTTTAGCGTCCAGTGTGGTTACTATATGTACCACTTGCTTTAACATACTAAAACTCTGCATTCTACCCAAAGGGTGTATTTGCATAGTTAATATGGTTCTCACAGTTAACAGCTATTGTTTCCTTGAACAGCATTAATAGGTTGATTTTATAGCTGAGAAGTGATCTGTTTACTATGAAGTATGAACTGGAATTTTTTCACATCATTTAGAAGAAATTCAGTCTTGAAAGGGTTAGGTTACATCTTCATCCTTCAGCTGGTACAGTTTCGAACACTGAGCCATGGTGATGATAACAAGAAATTTATTAAAATTTTCCTTTACTCTACTCATAAACACTTATCATCAAACACGCTTTCCAAAACATTAAGAGCATTTAAAAGTGAAGCCAAGAAGAAGAGTCCTTCTGGAGAAATTAATATCCCATCTGAGCCAGATGAATCAATTCCACACTCTCTCACACCAAATTTGTTTAAACTCCAGTTTAATAATACCCTCCCTTCTACATTTAAGTCTCCCCAGTAATATTTTCTTCATGTGTTGCAACCAAAATTTTATATTCATTTGATATCTTTCCTATGCATGCTAAATCTCATACTCCTCTTTAAGAGCAGGAATATAAATTATGAAGCCCCATACTATGTAACTACCTTCATCTTCCTGTTTCTTCTTCTCTGTTAGGTACAAATGTCTTTCTCTGCACCCTCAACCTGTTATTCCGAAGGGTGCAACATACATGCTGCCTACATGCTGAATACACTGTTGTACAGTCAATTATTTTATCATTGAAATAAGATTAACTATTTGTGCATGAGATTTGCATGGCAATTACTGAGAAGAGGACAGGCATTCTTCAATTTATGCAATAGATGTGTTACAAAAAAAATTGCAGAGGGTTAATTTGCATAAATCGAATATAGCTTTGTCCTCTCTCATTCCTCCTCAGAAAACCCACCTAATAAACTATACCCCTCCTTTCTCATATGGTAGTAACCATTTCACATTAAAGCGAGTGCCATAAATTGAAAGAGTTTTAAATTAGTTGAACAATTTTTTGTGGAGTGACTGTAATATATTCCAGAATGTGACACTGTGTAGTTTGGGAGGAGTTTACTGACACATTCTTTCCCTGACTAGAGACAAAATCACCTGAAGCACTCTCCTTCCATCCCCTCATGCAAAGAAGTGATCAAATATAACTTCAATAATTTCTGTTACAGGCTGCCCTAGGGTACATGGACCCCTTGGAGCCATCTCAGATTGCTTGGAATTGTGGTGGGACACTCATCAGTGACCGTTATGTTCTGACTGCTGCACACTGTGTTGTGCCAACATTGAGCAGGTAAATGCAGCTTGTATATTCAAATTGGCTAAGTCAGTGGTGTAGTTATCAGTGGTACCATTTGAAGAAAAGAATTTGGTGCAAAAATCTGTACATCACAAAAGAAAGGATACATCTTGCTAGCAAGAAGAATGGTGGGGGGGAGATTTATCTGTGCAGCTACAGTATTGCCATTGGCCATGTGAGTTTAAGTATACAGCCATGTATACCTGAACACTGAGTTCACACATCTGAAACAAAATAGCAAAATGCAGTTTTCTGTATTTTGCTATGTAGATAGAAGAATTTTGATGGTTTGACCACAAATCCAAGAAGTCTTACTGAATGTTCAATAAATTAAAATAAACTGAAAATTCTACACCATTACATAAAGAGCAGGAGAGGGATAATTTAGAAAGAAAAGTTATATTTTCAAACAAGAAAAACTATAGTATGAATATACTATATATCACTGTGAAAGAATTTGTATGCAGTAAATGATTTGGCATAAATGAGGACATAGCAGATAAGAAAATTATATACTGTATAAATGTAACAAAATGAAAAACAAAACATTGTAATTTTTATTGTTTCAAAACTAGAAGCAAATGGGAGAACAAAGCAAGAGGGGCTAAACCCTCACATGAGATTACCAAGGAATAAAAGCATAAGGTACAAAATGGACTGAGGGAAAAGATAGGAGAAATACAAATGGTGCATTTGTGGTGGTATTAGTAGTAGTAGTAGCAAGAGCAGCTAAATTGTCTTAACTAAGGAAATTTATGTATGTTAAGAATCTGTCCTCACAAAGCTTGGTGTTATGCTGGACATAGATTTATGTATTGTAATGAAACACAAATTATTAACTTCATTTTTACCTATATCACTGTGAAATATATTATAGGTATTGAAAAATTAAGAGTTCAGATCTTTCTTATAAAAAGACCTAGTCACTTAAATGTTTTTGCCAGCTACCATATTGTACAATTTAAATTAGGACAGAGTTTAATCAAGAGCTGGGATAGCTCAGTCGATATAGCAGTGGACTGTATGAGCATAATTAGATTCCCATTAGTGGCAAGAGATTTTTCTCTACTCCACAGCATCCAGACTGGGTTTGGGGCCCACCCTTCTCCCATGAATGGGTACTGGGGATAAAGTAGCTGGGGCAAGAAGCTGATCACTCACCTAAAACTAGTGCTGAGGTCAAAAATGGACCTATACCATGGTTCCCCCATATATTTTCATGGTATGGTGCTTAATTAAGTACAGGGACAACTTTACCTTTTACATGATTTAATCACCACAATCAGCACAATGGCTGACAACCTTACTGCCATCTGTGAGCCGACCGTAGAGAAAATGTGGGAGTCTCAATGTCTCACAATCTTATGGGCGTACACAGTCTGTTATAGGAATAGCTTGACCTTCATCACAATTGTATTATTAACACATCTACATATGTCCACTAGGAAGTCACCTGTGATAGTCCTATTAGGGGCTGTGAATCTCAATGAACCAGATTTCATGGCACAAACATACCATGTGAAGAAGTGGATGCAACATCCAGAGTACTCAACGACGACAGTATACAATGACATAGCAGTCATCGAGTTGGACAGAAGAGTCAAGTTTTCTGAAAACATTCAACCTGCCTGTCTGAACACAAAATCTGACATTCCAAATAATGGACTTGAGGTTACAGGCTGGGGAGTTACATCTAATACCCGTAAGTTCTTGGACATCTAATTTTAGACATTACAATTTTGCTCAAAATTATCCAATGAGGCAGTATTTTGTGATATAACGTGTGCAAATTATGAGTTAGTAAATTCATTCCACTTTCATATTACTACTACTCTTTTGTATTGCAGGTTCAACTAAAAGTGACATTTTACAGTATGCAACACTCAGTCTTGTCCCAAATGACAAATGCAATGAAAGTTATGTCTCTCAGAAGAAAGTGAACAGAGGTGTGCAGGACAACATGATCTGCGCTGGTGATCCTCAGGGCAAGATGGATGCATGTAATGTGAGTTGATTTCAAAACTGGATCCTTTCATATCATAACTTACCACATTCAATCCTGTCAAAACTGTATGTGCTCACTATACAATTTGGTGGGAATGCAGGAATTATATAATGAAAAACTTTATGATTTATACAGCTTGCCCTGTGGTAGTAGGAGATTGCAATAGGTTGGGTACATAGCATAGATATATGAAACACGAAATACACACACAGTTTTGATGAGGCAATATATTTGAAGGTGGTTACTTTAAAAACAGGCAAGAAGTTCTAGGAAGAATTAATTGCCTACTTTCCTTTCATTCGTATTATTTTATGACACAGACCACACAGAAAACACCATGTCCAACAGTTGTTCTATTGTTTCCATTGCTGCAGAAATGTTTACAGAGCCTTTGCCTAGCAACAGCCATCTCTTCTGGCTTTCAGGCACTGGTGGGGGGGGGCCACACAAACAGCAAGATGATCTCATAAGCCTCCTTTTACTTTTTCAAAATAAGGTAAATAGGCTAAATATGAGGCACAGATAATGTTACAGTGGACCTTTATGAAACTGGTCACAAGAATGTGAAATGAACCAAAATGGATCATGTTAATATCACATGTTGGGGTTTAGTATTAGGAGAATTCACTCTTTCTCGAGAACTAGCTAAGTGATATAACCAATTACATATAGATTTGAATAACCAAAGTGTTAATACTGCTCTACTTGGTCTGTAGGGTGATTCTGGTGGACCACTGCAAGTGAAGACCACAGAAACCAATGCATATTCCATTGTGGGTGTGACAAGCTATGGACCGTCTGTGTGCGGGGGCTTGACACCTGGCATCTACACTCGTGTCAACAGATATGTGGACTGGATAGAAAGCATAGTCTGGAAGTAACAGCTACTTGTTTGTGGTCATTCATTCTATACCAGTGCAAATACAAACATTGCACTGATCAGTTTCCTTACACTTGTTAAGCAAGAATTTTAAACCAATACATACAAATCCCATTACATTCATACGCTGTGATTAAGAACTATGTCTCATTTTCGCCAATGAGGCAAATTACAATTTTGCATTATAAATGAAAACGGGAGGTATGCTCATCTGCACCACATAAGAAACAAAAGTGAATATTCAGAAAAGTTAAAGAGTATATAAATAATTGCTTTTAAACTCCTACTGAATAAAAGCTTGCTAGTTACAAACACAAACACTCCAACACGTAAGATAATTTGGGAATGGATTCAGTAATGAGCTGAGTGCATGGGGCAACTAGAAGTTGTCCCACTCTACAGACAGACAATTTGAATGCCCACTTAAAGGACTAATAGAAGGCATGATCTCTGACTGAAAATGGCCAAACTAAATGCTCTAACTCTGTGATTGCACATGGTGATGATTATGTTAATCATGATACATTAGTTCTACATGTTATGTAAACTATATATTCATGACTGCTGAAAAGGTGTGTGAAAAATGTGACAAAGAATAAGGTCTGACCACCCATGGAAGCAATACAAATATGGTAACAAAAAAAAAATTACTATTTCTTTTATGAGTTTTCTGTTGGGGGGAGCAAAAACTTCACATTAATTTTATGAAATAAAGTTGATTTATATGATTTGAAGTTGCCATGGTGGTGAAAGTTCACACTCTTCTGGGACATAACACCATACTGAAGTCTGATATAAGAGTACAAAAAGTTTCAGATAAACACACAGCAATCCCATGACGCTTTAACCCAGAAGACCACTACAGAAATAAGATTCATTTTTAGGGTTTTCAAAAAATCAAACTATCAGCAAAAGAAACTACTGTCAAACTTTAATTACAGAAGTTGAAAGATATATGCATGGCATAAAACGAAACAGTATTTATAGGACCTGTTCTTTATACTGTCATATGAAATGACCAGCTTGCATCTAGTCATGATACTCTTTTGTGAGGACAGGACACTCTCACAGCCATGACTATGAAGATTACTGTTTTCTAGGATCTAATACCATGTAGTCTGGTACATAAGTAGTAAAGTTTGGGAGGAACTACCCTAAAGGTAAATGCAGCAAGTTCCTCCAACAGTAATCTTCACAATAGTTCTAGCATGTGCAAGTTACATTTCATATTACTACCGCATTTTACAAAGACAGGTCTGAATATGACTGCCAAGGAAACTTGGAAGAAAGAAACTTAACTGCTCAATAATTGACTCTTCAAAGAGATCAGTATGGCTATTAATACATTTACTGTCTTGAAAGTAAACACCAATTGAAGCTGGTGGCCCAATTGGCCTTGGCTAAACAGATGAACACATGTGTTTTAAATCAGGAAAAAGAAAATATTTCAATTCCTTGAAGACTGAGTTTTGATCTTTAAAATTTCTGTGGTACCTGGGTATGATGTTTTGCAGACAACACAGAATATATGAATGCTAAGTTGGCAGTAAATGTATTAATATGAAGTTGCACTAGAAGATGTTTAAAAAAAAATATCAAGAGAATACTAAACCTGAGAAAGTATTTGTCCTCAAGTGACATTCAATCTACTAAACAGGCATTGTAGTCTCCTCTATTTATTTTATAATATAAATATTTATTGAACTAATTTATTTTGTATAATAAAATATTTTAGAAACAAAACATCTAAAACTTTATTTCTACTGTCAATATTACCTAACCCTGATTCATTGGAGTTTTCAATTGACCTAATCCTTCCAGCTGCACTATGGTCCTGGATTTGAGTCAGCCTCTAACTAAAATGAGTACCAGGAATCTTCCTGGGGGGTGAAGTGCAGGAGGCGCATAAGGCTGACAACCTCACCGCCATTTGTGAACCAATTGTCTAGAAAATGTGAGAGCCATGACCTCTCAGAAACCTATGGGCCTCCACGCCCTGTTACAGGAATAGCTTTATCTTACCTCACTTGACTTATATGCAGTTCCACTGAAAGAGCTTTAAAACAAACCTCCCCGTAGTCTTCAGGTATATACAGAAATGCATTATTATTATAAAACCAAAAAAATTCTTATAGATATACTGTGGATTCAATTTTCCACATAATGTTTCGATGTGTGACTATTAGACGGGGTATAGATTGAATATTTGATTTATTGACCATGCTGAACTACACATAATTACAGGGATATCGCTGATCTACACACTTTACAGTTCACCATTACACACACACTGGTGTCCTCAGTCTTCACTAGTCATATCCTGGTGATGGATTTCAACATAGTAATTATACTAGTCTCCCAGTAACTGCAGCGCACATGAATACTTCTTTTCACATCTGCATTCTTGCAACTCGACTAACCCTCTTTACCATCTTTTCTCAATTATATTCGACAGCTGCCTCAAGAGACTTTCTCAGTTCTCATTCATCTGGCCTTGGATCCTCGTTATATAGCCTCAAGGTGGACCCAACAGAAAACACCGTTTCCATCGTTATGGCCAATTAATACCATGATTGTTTTGCTTATTCAGTGCCGTGGACACATTTACCGAAACACTGCCTAGCAACATACCTTTACTCTGGCTCCACTATTTTGGCTTTCAGGTATCACGTCACAATAATAAACTGTCTACGAGGATAAGAAATTATGTGTCTTGTGGCAAAAGTGTTAAAAACTGAATGTTTGGTGGTTATGTGACCAACGGCACAGTTGATTTGATAATCTGTGCAAGACCATCTTTTCCTTCTCGCCCCATCTGTCTGTATTAGTATCATGAGACATGATTTTTAAGCAATTAATGAGTTTTTGGATGTTATCCATTGTCCTGTTTTCTTTATTTAAAACACAAAACAAGGACTATGGAGAACGTTCAAAAACTCAATTAACGACTGTATTAATACACCGTAATCACACACTTTTAGACAAGGATTTTAATGCATTTTGTTAAACTTAGCTAATCTACTACAATTAACTCTCTTGAATGCAAAAGATTTATTTTGGTAACATCTGTTTCTGATGTAAATTACTTGAAGTAAATTTGTCTTCAACATTAATTGGAAGATTTTATTTACAATACCAAAAACAAATCAAACCATCAACAGTAAGTTATTAATACTGCGATTCTTCAGTAAGAACACCTACACATCTAGACATTTTGCATCCCACATATTTTCTGGAATTGATATGCAGTCATTGCTAACATTCACAAACATTCTGCAGAGTAAGTATTTATAAGTACTCACCACTCATAAAAGTATCATTAGATTAAAATAACAAATCAAATTTGTGGGAGGTCTACTGAGGGGAAGAACCTAAAGGATTATTAATTTCTAGCACAGGATTGAATATATGTAAGAGAGTTCAGGAACAATGGCGTTTCTCACTCAGTGCCACTAACTACTTATGCATGATAAATAAAATCTCCACCTTACTGAAGCATTAGCTTGGATGCTGAACAAAACCAGGTAAGCCACTCCATTCCATGACATTCTCTTGCACACTGAAGTGCATATCTTGGAAAAGTATGTTTTTCAAATCACAGGCAGGTGGTTAACATCAAACTGTATTTTAAGAAAACGGGCTATGATTTATTCAGTGGATGGAGTTGGCTAGGATACTTTCTAGTTTTGAGCTTTTGTTCTTGTTATGAATTCAAACTAATAAATTAGCAATCATGATGGCCTTGTTTTATATTTAAATGGTTATTTAATACCTTTCAAATATGTGGTAATCTAAGACCTCCAGGATTTTGATGTATGCAGTGAAATTCCTTGCAGGATTATCAAAAACAGAAGAACAAGCAATGGGTCACATTACAGAGTCATAACCCAAAACAGTGAACCTTCATGAAGCAAAGATGGGTCTGCAGTGGAGGGAAGCAGAATGTCTAAGAATGAATCAGTACCAGTGTATAAGCATGACTTTGCAGATTTAATCAAGAAGGTCCATGCATACAAAGCATGACTGGAAGAGAAGACGACAGCGATATGCTACAAAAGAAACTAGAATCTGACATGGATGTCTTGCAAAAAGAAAATGAATTGCTGACATGTCAACTGAAGAAACAGCAAAGTCATGTACCAAGTAGGGAGACTGAAACAGCATAGCTCTAGGTAGACTGTAGCAGACTTCAGTCAAATGCAGAAGCAAGTCAGGTAAGCCACGAAACACATGTTGAATGAGCCAGTGACCATTGAGAAAGCCTGTGATCACCTTATGCAAGATAAGGATAGACACCTACATGAACAAGATCATGAGATGCAAGAAAAAAATCATCTAAGATCTGAAGAAAGAAATGCAAAGCCCAAGGAACGTGACTAAAAATCAGTAGCTGAAGCACAGTTATCACAGAGTTAGAACTAATATGGACATTTTCATTGCCATATTCAAACAAACGTTAGATGTCATTGTGCTAAGAAATACAGATCCTCTATGGAAAGTAATTACTATTCTTCATGAAAGGAGGAGGAACACAGTGCAAGGGCAAGTACAGCATTATTAAGCTGATGAATACTTAGAATGTCATTTGTTATCAGATGTCTGTAAGTTCCTCATTCTTTAACAATGTATCATATCTCTTCCCCACCTTGCCTGCCTTTGCCTTCTCTTTGATCCTCCACCACTGACTGTCTTATATATTCTACCTGATTCTGAATTGACAAACTGATATTGCAACCCCCCCCCCCAATTGGAGGATAGCATAGTCAGCATAGTGACTGGTTATTGGCTGGATGGTCAAGGAGTTGGAGTTTGAGTACTGGAAGGATAAGAATTTCCTCTTCTCGACATTGTCCAGACCGGCTGTAAGGTTCACCCAAACTCCTATCCAATGGGTACCAGGGTAAAGCAGCCAAGATGAGAAGCTGACCACTCACCTAGAACTAANCTGGAAGGATAAGAATTTCCTCTTCTCGACATTGTCCAGACCGGCTCTAAGGTTCACCCAAACTCCTATCCAATGGGTACCAGGGGTAAAGCAGCCAAGATGAGAAGCTGACCACTCACCTATAACTAATGCCGATGTCAAGAAAATGTGGATCTATACATCCACTCCCCCATATGCCCTCATGGCGTAATCCTTAATTAAGTATGCACAGGGAGTTTACTTTACCCCGAAATGCAGTAATTCTGTGCATTAATCTTCCCTTTAATAAGCTAATACCTCTCAACACTTCCCTTATCACAATTCATGGTCATAAGTCTGTAAGCCCCTCATACTGCCTCACTGTAGTTTCAGTCTGTCTTTCTACCTTTGTCTCTTCTTTTCTCTCCCACCAACTGTTTTATAATTCTTCTTCTGCCTCTCCTGCTTCTTGATATCCTTTGTACTAAACTTCTGTCTGAGAAATTGATACAGCAACATCCCCCCCCCCCTTTTGACAAGCTGACACCTCTCAACAATCCTCATCATCGCAATTCATGGTCAAATGTTCCCCACTTCCCTTACCTGTATCATCTGTCCTATTCTGCCTGCAAGAATAAGTACACAATCACATTTTTTAAAGTTGAATGTGACTATCCTTTGGTTGAACTGCATGTGTGAAAATAATTAAACTAAATGTATATAAACCTAATATAAGTTTGTATACATCTCCTATAAGAGGAGTACCACATACAATTATACAACACTCCACCAAGCCACAAGACATCACTTGCTACCAATACACATCGTCTCACATGCAATCAAGAAAAACTCTTAAGGGTTACATCTGAACATGATGACCAGACTACAAACAAGTACCATCAAGTAAACATAACATGACTATAAGAAACCACTTTATTCTACATGTTATTTAATACAATCATTTTAACCTAGTAAACAGGCATAAACCATCAAATATGTTCATATACACACAAAATACACCTTATATACATACAATTACAGCTGCATATACATACAATTTTATTTCATACTGAATTCATTTTTACTGCCTGCATATTTAAAAAGAAATCCATGGTTTTTAGTCCGTAAGCGAACTATATTGACCAAGCTAGTGCTGCTTGTCAGCGAAGTTAGTTGCAATAATTGAGGAGCTACTTGAATGGAAAAGTAGTGGCTCCATTCTAGAAAACCGAGATTAACAGCCATGAGAATCCATTGCGCTGACCACACGACACCCTCTATCCGCAAAAGTTGGCATATTTTAATGTACTGTATATTATATTTTACTATTTAACAGATAACTAGCCAAATCGACCACACATCCAAATGTGAATATAGGAACAATATCCCAAGTACAATAGAATATGGCATGCAAACTCAATAGACTTCTGTAGGATTTGGGGTTCTCATAATGGTGGTTATGGGGAGTTCTACCTTCTGTGCAGTCATGTCACCTCCATCGGGGTCAAAACATGCAGTGGAAAATAAAACATATCGACTGTTAAAGAGTTGTGCTGATGGTATTGTAAGCATTTCCAAATACAGAAATTTGTTATTTAAAACTCCATATAGATATACAGAGATTAATTCTTAAAAATTTAGGCTCTTAGTTCATGACTTTAAATATGTAATAAATAAAATTTATATTTTTAAATGCTGCATTTTACACATTAAAGACGATTTCAGGAAATCTGGACCATCACTGAATGCAGTGAGTTTTAAATGTTTTACCACAAAGTTCAACTTTTCATGTAACAATCTACTCCTTCATATTCATAAGCATGTGGTTGTTTCAATGAATTCAAAGATGTGTTGAATGCTTCTATACTACATCAGTAAGGATGTAACAGAACTGCTATGTCCAGTATGGTCTCTTTGAGTTGTGACACTACAGTATCCATCTCCAAGAAGATACACAGTGTCACAAACCAAAGATGACAATCTGAACAGTCACTGCCACTGAAAACTAAAGTGGAACTCCTCTGGCTGAACACATCTTATACTGGAGGGTGTTACTAAATATTTACTGCTGAAACTCAATTTTTGCAAATAAAATTGTTCAGTACATGCTACAAGGTAAGGCATTTGCATTTGCTTGCTGCATGAAGAGACAACTGAGGTGGGTGAAAATCAAATTTGTTCTTTTTTTATGCTCAGGAGGAGAACAGAATACCCAACTTGGATTTTTTTTAAATACATTGTGAGGTCTGTTCTCCAAACATATGGATTTGTAAAATACAAGCTGTTGGTGCTGAATACTGAAGAACAATGAAATCCACCTGACTATGGGGTTGAGTCTGAGGAAAATGACATTTCACGTTTGGTCCCCTATGTCCATACTGTTTTTAACTGTCTAAATTTTCTCCCAAGTGTGGTCCTCCAATCATACAAAATTTGGAAAAGAAAAGACAATGAACATACTTTCTAACACATGACTGACCCCAATTACATTACTATCAAAACAAAATCAATTTCTGCATTGTAGACCATTGTTGGTTACTGGCCTAACACTTATTTTGTTTTTACACTGAAGTTTCTTGAACATTTTCATCAAGCCAGCTTGTTTACTACCTACTCTCCCCCTGCTGCTATGGCTCTCTCAGAACCTTGATCTCATCTACAAGAGATTCCCATGCTTCTCTCATTCATCTGCCTTTTGCCTCCTCCTCTTTTACTTTCAGCTCTTATAAATCATTCTCTGCTTCTTCCAGTCATTTCAGTCTGGACTTTCCCACTTTTCTTCTAGCTTCTGGCTTCCTATGAAGAATTGTTTAGCAATCCTCATTTGATATATTCTGACCATATGCCCCAATCACCCCAACCTTTTTCTTTTACTATCTGTTACCAGATCAGGAGTTTTATATAATTCCATCACTTCTTCGTAAATTATGCTTCTCCATGCCCCATGTGGAGTTACTGATCCATACACATTCCTTGACATTTTTTTTTTCCCTTGTATTAAACATGTAACATGAACCATGTTTCATTCCATACATCTAACTTACTTCCGGTACATGTATTCAGCTTATTTTCAAATTGTCAATACTCCTTAAGCTCTTGGAAATGAACTCATGTAACGTACATTTTCTTCTTATCCAGCCACATGGCTAATAAGTTCAAGAAGCTTGGCAAACTCTTCCTGAATCATCCTGTATAACAGACTATGGAAATAAAGTTATAAGCAATCTGCAGTCTCCATTCTGAATCTCTGGTATGTATTCCTAACCAGAGAATTCTATTTTGGCTTCCACAGAGACAGACTCAGCAAGCACATTGGTGCATCTGTCCCTGTGTAACACGTAGCAAGTTCCGTCCATGTTTAACTGGTAAATATATGAAGCACCAAAGATACTTCAGACTTCATGATTACAATACTGTTTCAAGACAGCTGTTAAATGAGATCTTGTTACAAAGATTTGTGGCTTGGTTTCTCTAGAAAGCAGCTGTAACTCATACAACAAATCGAGTTTCCCAAATTATATAAGCATAGATGTACTAAAATAGTTTAGACCAGAGGCTTTGAGTAGAACAGGGATATGAAACAAATGCAACTGGCCTAGGAAGCTGACAGCGAATACTGAATCATAACACATTATGCATGAGTGGATAATGTGATAAATACCGTATTTATGCATGTATAGGCCGCACATTTTTTGCACAAAAATTCAAGAGGAAAACTGGGGTGCGGCTTATATTCGAAATATTTGAAATCACACTTCATTTAAAAAAAATTATATTCATAATTAGTAATACAGGGTGTAATACTCCTGAAATAATATTCCAAGAAAATTATTTTTTCTATAATTTGTCTGAAAATTGTGCTGCAGCCTATACACGCACGCGGCCTACACATGCGTAAATACGGTATTACATATACCTGTTGCATTATAGTAACAGTTTTAACAATATAGGAAATTGCACAAAAAATTAGAATTTGGATGCTATCTGGCTGGTGGAACTGTTCCCTTTATTGTAGTGCGATGCAATACACGTAAACCAACTTCATCTCTGGGGAGCTGTGTTTCAGGTGTGGCTTCATGACCTACTGCCAGGTTATCAGAGATGATAAAGTCTCCCTCTTCCCACTGTAACACATTCTTATATTAAAACAAGAACACTAACTTATATGGTTCAGGAGTACTGAATGGTACTTAACACACATCATCAGAAAAAATGTATGTTAATCATAGGGCCGCACCATAGCTCAAGCGGTTAGTCGTTGGCTTCCCACAGTGGCAGCCCAGGTTCGGTCAAGTGGGATTTGTGGTGAACAAAGTGGCGCTGGGGCAAGTTTTCTCCGAACACTTCAGTTTCCCCTGCCAATCTTCATTCCACCAAATTCTCCAACACCATAATCACCCAGGGCAGGTACAATAGGCCAATCAGTGGCCGCCACGCCGAGTGGATCCAGCTGGACTCCACCCCCATTAAGTGAATTAAAAAAAAGTATGTTAATCATACTTTAATGAGGAGTATCAGATGCAAGTGGGAGCTTGAAGGTATGCAAAGTAATTAGATAACATTTACAACTACACGGTAAAGTTGGTTAGTAGGTCAGCCAGTAATGCTTTGTGTAGAAGTCATTGTGACAGATGGTTCATTCACTGGCCACCACAAGAATTAAAAAAAAATGTGCAGTTCATCAGTCCTTATTGGACAGTACAGTTTGAAGTGCATATTTTGAGTCTTGATTGATTCTTAAATTCTGTCTGAATTTTTAAAATTATTATTATTATGACTGACCACCCACTGGTATAATTCTATTTAGAAAAATATAAATGAAACAAGTACAATAAAACTTTTTTGTTTTCTTCAGATCCTGTCAAATTTTCCTTTTTATTTCAGTGGGTATACAGTATTTGTACTTAGGCTGGTAGCATTATCTGCAATTACAACTCAGATATCTTGATGCAACTAAGTGCATATGTGATAGATAACAAAATTCATTACCTCTGAAAACTCTTGGTACACATTTTACAAATAATTTCATGACACTGTAATCAAATTCATAAGAATATAAAATGCAAAATTANGAGGAGTATCAGATGCAAGTGGGAGCTTGAAGGTATGCAAAGTAATTAGATAACATTTACAACTACACGGTAAAGTTGGTTAGTAGGTCAGCCAGTAATGCTTTGTGTAGAAGTCATTGTGACAGATGGTTCATTCACTGGCCACCACAAGAATTCATGAAATGTACAAAAGATCTGCATTTAATCACAAATGAAAGTATTAAATTTCAGAACCTTAAATAATAACAAAGCAAAATAATAGTATTTTGGCATACAGACCAGTTGCTAAGCAGTGACTGCAAGCTGCAGCCATTGCTAGGTAACACCCACAAAAAGAGCTGTTTTCTATGTGGTCCACGCCGAGATGTTATAATCAGAAGGTGTGGAGCTCTGTATGGGAATCTGTGAAGAGAGGACTTGAGCCCAGAGGCAGAGGGATAGCCATTGTTGGAGCTGTTACCACAAAACATCCAGCAACAACAAACTAAGAACACTAGACTGAGTACTCTAGCGAACTGTGAAGTGTGGAAATAGCCACAGTATTATAGTTATTTGTAGCTGCAACCTGTAAGCTGTCAACAAATCTATTCATCAATCCTAACTCCATCTACAGTCAAACATACTATGTGGCAATATTTATACTTACATCGTGCCTGTCTGGTAATAAAACTACAAGAAATGAATAATATTGCTCTGGAATAATCTACACATAAACTATGGCCACTCATTTATCACTTTTACATCATACCTTGTGTGAATACTGGATTTTCCCTCCATCTTTTACAAATTCATAATGGATGTCCTTTGTTATTCTATCAAATTCCTCCTCTGTAGCCGCACGTTCATGTGATGTACCATAGTCCCAGATGTAGTTACTTGTCATTCCCAAATGGAAACACATTGTCTTTAACACACACACAGATTTATAAGTTATTGAATCTCTTTACACTGAGGGTTACTTACACAAATTTAAGATATCACTGAGATGAAGAATGGTTTACAAAAAGTTATACACGTTACAAACTGTTTAATTACTTCTAATGCCAGTGGTTGAAAAACTGACAATACAGAAGATACAATACAAAATCAGAAACAAATTTTCCAGTCAGAAATTTACCATCTTTCCTGTGACAGGATGAGGATAGATTAGAGGATGAATTGGTCCACTTCGTCGGTCACTCATCATCCACAGCCTCTCCCACTCTTTTCTTTTTGCAGATGGAAGACTCTCAACTATTTCATTGAGGGGTGCAAATACTGTGTCACCTTTCTGAGGTATTGACACCATGTGATAAAGGGAGTAAGCGAAAGGTGCTGGCTGGAAGGATCCATCAATATGCCAACCTGTCCGACCCACTCCTGTAAAGACAGTCGTTCATATGCTCAACATGACAAATGATAATTTTACTTCTGAATTTACATAATTTATGATTTGCTTTTCATTACAGTGGAAAATTTAAAAGGGATCTGAAATTAAAACTTACTGGCATATTTACATAAATTGTTACTTTCCTTCCATTTTATCAAGCCTCGTATGTCTGTTAAGATCCAAACAACACAATACTATTCAATAATTCAAACATAAGATAAAAGTTAGTAGTCCCATTAGGTTAGGTTTGAATGGTGTGGCTTATTTTACTTTACTTTAAGCAGTTCTCAATAAATATTACATTTCCTAAGGTTAATTCAAGTTCATTACCTTAAAAATATTTTCAGATCAACTACTATTGCTTACAGTGTGTGGATAGTCTGCATGACAGGGTCAGCAACTATTTCTAAAATTTAACCATTTCACAAAAGAAATATAAAAGACTATGAACATTTTAATTATTAAACATAGGCCAACCATGTTTCCATCCATCTTCTTAAATTCATAATTAATTGAATTAGGATATTGTTAGTTTATTCGGAAAAGCATAACTACTACACAGAAAATACAGAAGCTCTATTTCTTAATAGCAGGGAGGCTGGGCTCTACAAGAAACACAAGTGTACATTCTGTCTCATTATCAGAATGCAGGGCAAACACATAATATGAAAAGAGCCTAGTGCATATATGAATTATGTCAACCATCAACACAATAAATATATTCAGGTTTAATATTTGATCTTTAATCCTGCTACATGCGTTGGTCGTACAAGACTATCACCAGGCACTTATATATAGGAATACGCACAGTTATTGAACTACCAATATGGATCCATATCAGTGCAAAGTGTCATATTATATAGTAACATAAAACTTTTGCCTCAAGTTGGCGTTATAATTAAAGCAGCAAATACATAAATAAGATAAAAGATAAATATAAAAGTATACCATATATCAGGATTTATAATGTAGTGAATATAATATTAAAAATATTTTTAAAAAATGTATATTTGAGTATATTTGTTGTGTTGACAGTTGACATAATTCCTATATACAGCAGAACTTGGTTATAACGTCATCAAAGGTACCTAAAAATAGTGTCGTTATAAACGATTGTCGTTGTAACCGAAATGGGCACTTCCACAGTAGCCTTATGTTAGTCACGTAAAAATCTACCAAAAACCGAGTTAAAAGGTTGCATTTTTTAGTGAAATACGTAGTTAAGTACAGACTAACGTAACATTAACGTGGAATTGCCCAAATGTGTAATATCAAAGACATTACAGCGCTTTTCACTGACAATACACAACGCACTAATACTGTATATTAAAGGTATGCCTACTCACCAAATTACAGTAGATTACATCAATTGTTGTGCCTTACTGTACCTAGATACGAGTACAGTAATCAGTTATCTTCATCTGTTTCCTGTTACTTGCCCAATACACACTTTCTAAATTACGTTCAATGTCCATAT